ATTTGGAATTCTGCGAGCATTGTGTGTTTGGGAAGCTACATCGCAGCAAGTTTCCCAAGAAGGGTATCCACCAGACGAAGGGGATACTGGATTACCTCCACTCCGACTGTTGGGGTCCTTCACGAGTTGAATCCATTGGAGGCAGCAGGTATTTTATGTCTATTATTGATGATTATTCGAGATTTACTTGGATTTTCATGATGAAGTAGAAAAGTGAGGCTTTCACGAAGTTCAAGCAGTGGAAGACATTGGTGGAGAATCAGACCGGGAAGAAGATCAAGAAGCTGAGAACGGACAATGGTCTGGAGTTCTGTAATTCTGAGTTCAACGAATTCTGCAAGGATGAAGGGATGAACCAGACATTGTTGGAGAGAGCACGGTGCATTCTCTCTAATGCTGGACTAGAGAGAAGATTCTGGGTAGAAGCAGTGAACATGGCGTGCTTCCTGATCAACCATGGACCTCACACAGGTATCGAGTTGAAGACTCCTTATGAGGTGTGGTATGGTAAGCCTGCTGATTACTCTTCACTGAAATTTTTTGGGTGTCCTGTTTATTATCATGTGGATGAGGGTAAACTGAACCCAAGGGCAAAGAAGGGTGTATTTGTGGGTTACGGAGATGGAGTTAAGGGATTTCGAGTTTGGTCACCTTCTAAGCATCGAGTTATACTCAGTAGAAATGTGATATTTGATGAGAAGTCTATGTTTAACCCCATGTTGAAGGTTACTGTTGTTGAAGGTAGCAGGAATGTTGATAAGCAGGTGGAGCTGCAAACTCTCAATGAGAGTGAGTTTGAGCACCAAGGTGGAGTAGATCAACATGATGAGGATGTCTCTGCAGAGCCAGAAACTTCAGAGTCCAGTGCACGAGCTCAACAGTCTATGGTTTCCGGTAGACCGAAGAGAGCGACTGCAGGAGTACCTCCACAGAGGTATGGTTTCGAGGACATGGTGGCGTATTCATTTCAGGTTGCTGAAGAAGTGGACGCAGGAGAGCCACAGTCCTATAGAGAAGCCGTTTCGGGTGGCGAAGCTGATCAGTGGCTTGCCGCAATGGGAGATGAGATGGAATCCCATGACAGGAATCAGACTTGGGAGCTAGTCAAACGACCACAGGGAAAGAAGATTGTTACAAACAAGTGGATCTACAAGAAGAAGGAAGGAATCACTTCTAAAGAGGGCATGAAATTTAAAGCTCGGGTGGTTGCACGAGGCTTCTCGCAGAGGGAAGGAGTTGACTACAATGACATTTTCTCACTAGTGGTCAAACATACTTCGATCAGAGTGCTACTAGCAATAGTGGCACATTATGACTTGGAGCTCGAGCAGCTAGACGTGAAGACAACTTTCCTACATGGAGAGTTGGAGGAAGAAATTTACATGACTCAGCCAGAAGGATTTGAGGTTCCTGGAAAAGAAGACTATGTTTGTAAGCTGAAGAAGTCCTTGTATGGACTTAAGCAGTCTCTGAGACAGTGGTACAAGAGATTTGACAGTTACATGCTTGAGCTGGGCTATAGCAGAAGTCCATATGATTGTTGTGTGTATCACAACAAGGTGGAGGATGGTTCGATGATCTATCTTGTTCTGTATGCGGATGATATGCTCATAGCTGCGAGGTCGAAGTCTGATATCCAGAAGTTAAAGGGGCTTCTCAGTGCTGAGTTTGAGATGAAGGATTTGGGAGCTGCTCAGAAGATCTTGGGTATGGATATTTACAGGGACAGGTCGAAGAAGAAGCTTTTCTTGTCACAGAAGAGCTACATCCAAAAGATATTGTCGAGGTTTGGCATGTCTTCAGCAAAGCCCTTAAATACTCCTAGTGTTTCAAATGTTCATCTATCCTCAGCTTATGCACCGCAGTCAGAGGCTGAGAAGGAGTACATGTCGAGAGTCCCATATGCTAGTGCAGTAGGTAGCTTGATGTACGCTATGGTATGCACTAGACCTGATCTTGCACATGCTGTTAGTGTTGTCAGCAGGTTTATGATACAACCTGGGAAGAAGCATTGGCAGGCTGTGAAGAGGATTTTCCAGTACCTTAAGGGTACACCTGATGTGGGGATTAGCTTCGGAAGTGATACAGAGTGCTTGGTGTCTGGGTATTCTGACTCGGACTATGCTGGAGATGTTGACACGAGGAGATTGATGACCGGTTATGTATTCACTCTTGGGAGTTCTGTAGTGAGCTGGAAGGCAACTTTGCAGTCGGCGGTGACATTGTCTACTACTGAGGCAGAGTACATGGCGTTGACAGAAGCTGCTAAGGAGGGAATATGGTTGAAGGGACTAGTTGGTGATCTTGGTCTACATCATGATCAGGTAGTGGTGTATTGCGACAGTTTGAGTGCAATATCCTTGGCCAAGGATCAAGTCCACCATGAGAGGACTAAGCACATCGATGTGAGGTATCATTTCGTGAGGACAGAGAAGAGGATTAAGGTGAAGAAGGTTGGCACCGCGGATAATCCTGCTGATATGTTCACGAAGCCGGTTCCACATGGCAAGTTCCAACACTGCTTGGACTTGCTGAATGTCTTGAGTGGGTGACTCCGCCCTGCGGGGCATTGATGGCGGGAGAGAGAGATAGAAGGAGCAGAGTACATCAGAGATTTCAGAGGAAGAGGATTCAAGTCAAGGTGGAGATTTGTTGATATGACTTGAATCGGATAATCAGCCGCTACGACTGGTAATCGGGGGTCTCGCTGTTATTTGGTTTCGGGTTCTGGGCCTGGTCTGTAACCGTTTCCTTTGCAAGTTTGGATTAGGTTTAGACCCACATGGAGAAGTACTATAAATACTTCTCATACTCCTCTGTAATCTGTAATCTCCTTGATATAGTGAAACTGGCTCTCTCTCACCCATGGACGTAGCTAACACACATCGTGTTAGTGAACCACGTAAATCGTGTGTCGTGTTTTCGATTCTCGCTTTCGTATTCTTGCTTTGTCGATTTCTGCGATTTCCCGATCCGTAGCAGCGCGTTTATAACAGGTATGGAGAATGAAAACTAGTCACTTTGATTAAGTTATTGGATTCATTAGTTGTAGACTTGTAGTGGTTGGAGATGCCCTGCCACCATGCACGTACGAAGCCATTTCCGAAATTAAGTGGAGACATTCCTTTTGTCGTCCCTTTTAACTTTCGCAAAAGACCTCTCTATTTTCAGCAACGAATTCGATCAATTGGCGGGCTGGTCGTCTTTGCATCTAGCTTTCTTGGCTTTAGGTAAAGAAAAAGAAATTAATATGCCCAAATTAAGTAGTTCCTCTTTTAAAGCGTCATGTGTTTTCTGAGTATTTGTCTATCTACTTCTTCGGAGTTCGGAGTGGTACCCTTTGCAATATACGTTTCTCTTTACAAATACATAATTTGGTGGACACAAGCGTATACAAAATTACCCATGCAATTAGGTTTGAAAACTATACGTTTCTCTTTACAACTATATACAAAATATTTCAGCACTTGTCTTAGTCTTGCCAAAACAAACGATACTGTGTTTTAAAAGAACTAGTCAGTATCTCACAAAGAAGTTGTGCCCTCACATATATACTATTCACATAAATAGATAATAGGCAAAATACACTCTCATAGTCATGACTTTCACGTTTGTGAGAAACAGTGGCGTAGCCAGGATTTTCTATAAGGGGGTGCCAATTTTTTTAAAAAAATTTATTTAATATGAGAAACTATTACTTTTTGCAATGACTCACAACATTTTTCTACTATAATAAAACTTGTAAATTATATGTTCCTCATCTAAACTATCAAAAACCTTATTGTCAATATATCCTATCGATTAGTGCTTCAAAATTTGGCTAATCATTCCAATCCATGGTGGGTTACGGTAAAAACTCTCTAATGCTTATGGATAGCCGATGAAAGTCGGTTGAATGGAAAGGTAGAGTCGAGCGACTTTTGATTGGAATTGAAAAAAGAAACATATATAGTTAAATACTACCACAAAAAGTTCACCTAATAATATTGTAAACATAAGAATGTGGTTCCATGTACAAGGTTTCATTATAAACAATCTAATATACTCTTAACTTTGTTCTCCCAAGACAAGGGTGTGTTGGGTACAACTCAGCAATCAAACCCAACGGGATGCAATTCTGCCGGTTTGGTAAGTTGATGCTCAAAGATGGAAGGTGGCAAATGTTGGTTGAGTCGAGCGCGAGACTCTGCCGCCGGTTTCACTTTGTTTTGATGATCGGACGTCAATCCTGCTAAACCCTAATCAGCGGATTGACCGAGCAAGTGAAGAATCGAGATTTTTCTTTTGTTTTCTTTTTCTCTGCTTAATGCAATTGAATAATAAAAGAAAATGATAAGCGATACTAATTGGGTCTAGCAAACAGAACAATGGGCTTGAGCCCAACTACTTATCACCGAAAGCGTTTGGGCTTGTCCCTACTTACTCCAGCTTAGCCTGCCGGATGCTTCTTCTTCCTTGATCCACCAATGTCAGTTCCCTGTATGAAGGTTTCCCTGCACCTGATAAACACAAGACAGAAACAGAGTACCAAACTCATCTCAAAACAGAGAACACACACTGCACAGAAGTTTTTACGTGGTATCCGATATTGGGAGAAGAAGTATCCCAATATCGACTAATCCACGGTAGGTATCTCTCCTCTTGAAGATCCCTACGTAACTACTAGAACGATTTTCTTGTTCTTGATTACGCTCTAGAGATTAAAATAACCAGCTCCCTGCCTATCAATCTAATTCCTCTACTGAAGTATAACCACCCTGATTACACACTCAGAAACACTCGCTATTCTCCCCGATTAGCTTGTTTAGTTTTTCTATCAAGAGCTCCCGACTTTTCACACAGTACACAACTTTTGATTTCCCTAAAAAACTTTACCAGCAAACTACATCATCTTCGTCTTTATATTGCCTCTTTTCTTCAAGCTAGCCGTTGTAAGATGATGATTTGATTTCCCGCAAATCCGCTCCATCTTCCTTCTTTGAAACCTTCCATTTTGTCCTTGATTGATTTTGTTTTTATTCTGATTAATCAAAAGACTGAAACATAGTACATATTCCGATTTTAAATCAACAACAATCAATAGAAAAAGCAAACTGGACACTACCACTCAACTGATATGACACATAAACTAACTCATCCCTACTAGACTTCCCTAGCCGGTAAATTGTAGCTCCCCCTGAGCAGATTCATCAGGTTCCTAGAAGGGGTGACTAGGAGGCGATTCATAGTCTGAGATTTCATCTTCAGAACTAGAGTCAGATGAGATTGGATCAAAGTCATCTGGAGCCGGCCTAGCTTCATCAAACTCCATCAGTTCAAGACGTTCTTTGCAAACCAGAAGGCCTGTGGTCTTTCCATTACCAGTTTCTTTTTTACGCTTGACCTCACTATCTATGGCTGATACTGCAGCTTGAGTCAAGGCTGTAATCAAGCTATCAGAGCTAGGATCAGTAGGAGAGAAGGTTGAGCAGCAGGGCACAACGTCTCCCCCTGAGCCAGAGACGAGCTTAAGACGCCCTACATTAGCATCGAGACAAACGAGAACATGATTAGGGCGTAGATCATCATGGAGTTACAGAAGGCTACTTTGGCACGGAGATCAATGCCAAGGCGATGTAAATAGCGAGTGATGAGGGGTCCAAAGGGTAGAGCACCCCTGTAGGCACCGCCGCCAAAATCGAGCATGTGGGCAAACATCAGTGACGCATAACTTATGGGTTGACGAGCACGAGCATTGCCCATAATCCAGAGATCCAAGGAATGAAGAAGCCCAGCACTTGTGATGGCGCGGGGAAGGAAGCATCAACCAGCTGACAGCTGATTGGAAAAACTCTTGCCAATGTCGCAGGTCAGCCGATCGAGGGCGACACAAAAGTCAAACCCTTGATCAGCAAAATCACTATCATAACTTGCCTTGATCCCAGAATGAGGAAATGATAGGACCGAGGCAAGGAGGTCTGGTGTGACTGTGATTTCATGGTCATAAACCATTGTGGTGAAGGACCGTGGCGCAGTACCATGGTCACGACGAATGTTGACATAGAATAGCCTGACTGCTTCAGGACAGTGAAGAAAGCATTGATCCTCAGTGAACGATTCCCATCCCAATCTAGCAATGAGAGAGGGAATATCCATGTCATATTTTGAGATGGCTGAAAGAGAGATGGTGAATGAGGGATAGATGGGACGATCGTGGAAGCAGCGAAGATACCTTGAGTAAACTATGGAGTTACGAAAGCTTTGGTTTTTGAACACAATGACAGGACGAAGCTGAGCATTGTTGAAGGCCATTTGAGAAGGAGATTTTATGAGTTGGACGAGTGATTTTCAGGATGAAGAAAGTTGACAAAGATGCCCTATAGATATATAGGTGGAGATGGAGTAAGAAAGGTAAGTGAATCACTCACGTTTTGAAGGTCCATCAAGTGATTGCTGATTATCCGGGACAGAGAGAGATGCTAAGAGTTCTAAGGAAATAATCAAGAGGAAATAAGGAAATTGAGAAGACACAGAATCCTAAAGGATTTCCACTATTTCTTCGAGAGAAATCATTCCAAGTTCTCAACGAATGGGCAGAAATTTATCAACAGGCAGAGGTTTGGTAAAGATGTCTGCCCATTGTGAATTTCCCCCTACAAATTCTAGGTGAATTTTGCCTTCTTGAACTAAATCACGAAATGATAACGAACCTCTATATGTTTAGTGCGAGAGTGTTGAATTGGGTTTTTGGTCATGTTAATAGCACTTGTGTTATCGAACAGAATGGGAAGAGAACCTAGTTGAGACCATAGTCTTCAAGCTGGTATTTCATCCAAAGTACTTGAGTACAGCAAAAACCAGCAGCAATATACTCAGCCTCGGCCGTGGATAAAGCCACTGAGCTTTGCTTTTTACTTAACCAGGAAACAAGTGAAAACCCTAGGAAATGACAGGCACCAGAAGTGCTTTTTCCTGTCAACTACACACCCTGCGTAATCTGAATCGCTATAGCTGATCAAGTCTAAACTTGAGGAGCTAGAGTACCAAAGTCCGAGAGTAGAAGTACCAACTAGATAACGAAAAATACGTTTAATAGCTGAAAGATGACTCTCCTTTGGGTTGCTCCGAAAGCGAGCGAAGACACAGACACTATACATAATGTCAGGGCGGCTTGTAGTAAGGTACAAAAGTGATCCAATCATACCACAAATTTTGTTACAGTCTACCGATTTTCCAGATTCATCTGGTGCCAGTTAAACAGTGGAGCCCATGGGTGTAGAAGCTGCCTTTAAGTTGCCAAGATCAAAACGTTTTTTCATGTCATTCTCAAATTCTGAGCATAATTTTTGACTGGTGGAGCCAAAGATTATGTCATCAACGTAGACTTGAACTAGCAAGGTGTGTTCATTTTCATTTTTAATGAACAGAGTTTTGCCAACTTGTCCACGAGGAAAACCCTTTTCAATCAAAAAGTTACTAAGCTTCTCATACCAGGCTCTAGGAGCCTGCTTAAGCCCATACAAGGCTTTATTAAGCTTATACACATAATCAGGATGTTCAGAGTCCTCAAACCCAGGGGGTTGAGAGACATACACTTCTTCTTTTATTTCTCCATTCAAAAAAGCACTTTTGACGTCCATTTGGTATAGTTTAAAACCTCGAGAAGCAGCAAATGCACACAACAATCTTATGCATTCTAGTCTAGCTACAGGGGCAAAGGTTTCATCAAAGTCAATCCCTTCCTCCTGGCAGTATCTTTGAGCTACTAACCTATCTTTGTTTCTAGTAATAATGCCGATTTCATCAGTTTTATTTTGAAAAATCCACTTGGTTCCAATGATTATTCTGTCCTTAGGTCTAGGTACTAAATCTCACACATGAGTTCTGGAAAATTGATTCATTTCATCATGCATAGCTGTTGACCAGTATTCATCTTTTATAGCATCATCAATATTTTTAGGTTCAAACTGAGCCACAAATGCAGTATGCTCTGCATAAGATTTGGATCGAGTGGTCATACCTTGACTCAGGTCTCCAATTATAAGAGATGGAGGATGTCGACGCACGATGTGAGGTGGAGCCTGAGGATTGTGATCCTTTTCTTTTTCTTCCACACTGTTGTTCTCCTCTGAAGGCACGCTTTCTGTTTCTCGAATCTCTTGAGTGTCGTGACTTTCATGAGCTGTTCCTAACCCTAGATCATCATCCTCGTTGATGCTATCTGCACACTTACTGAAAGTCTCATCAAATATCACGTGAACGGACTCCTCAACCTTGAGGGTCCGTTTATTGAAAATACGATATGGCTTACTATTTACAGCATACCCGAGGAATATTGATTCCTCTGATTTTGAATCAAACTTTCCCAAGTGATCTTTGGTATTTAGGACAAAACATTTGCATCCAAAGGGATGAAAATAACTCACATTAGGTTTCCTATCTTTCTAGAGTTCATAGGGAGTTTTATTGATTTTAGGTCTAATAAGTGTTTGGTTTGTAATATAACATGACGTGTTAATTGCCTCTCCCCAGAATTGTTTAGGAATGCCATAATCATTTAGCATTGTCCGAGCTATGTCAATTAGAGTCTTGTTCTTCCTTTCTACCACACCGATAGACCATTGATTGCACATGTTTTTACCCCTATTCTTGAGTCGTTTGAGATGTTGATTCTCGTGTTTTAAGCCGATTTCACGCTAGGTTGTGTGTTTATGTCATATTTCAGGGCTTGGCGTTGGCATTGAGGCGAAGAAACGAGTTTTGGGTCGAAAGGAGCACGTTTGAGTTGAAGTGTGCTGGAGGAGCAAAATACCCAGCCATTAGCAAAAATACCCGGCCGGGTATTAATATGAGCAGACCGGGAAAAATCACTTTTAGGCGTTTGAGAAGCAGAAGGGGGCCCGAGCATTGAGCATAAATCCTCGGTCGAGTATTCTTGACCTTGACCGGGGATTAATTCTCTATCCTCGACGGTGCGTTTCAACAATCCACGGCCGGCCACCTAAAATACCCGATCAGGTATTTTGACCGGGGATCGAAAACGCAGGCTGTTAAAAGCCTGTTTTGTGCGTTTTTGCATGAGAGAGCTGGGTTTGGATCCCAAACACCCAAGGGACGAACCAAAGAGAGAGAGAGAGAGGGCGATTTGAGAGAATTCATGGAGTAGAATTGGTTGATTTCTTCACCTTGGAAGCTCGAGGAACAAGCCCGGGCTTGGAGGCTGATCATCTGAAGATTCTTACTGCAGTCTCTATCTTCTCTATGGAGTAACTTCCCTTCACTTAGGTTTTGAGGAACCCTAGCTATGTTTGTTTGATTGGATGATTGTATGAGTACTCCTACTTGATAATCTTGAGTTCATATTCAATCTATGCATGTTTTCATGATTCAATTCTGCTTTAGTCGAGATTATTGATTCTGCTTTAATCCTATGAAAGCGAATACCATATTAGGTCAATAGAGCACCATAGATTGATAGTATTGGATCAATTGCTTTAGTCGAGGGTTGATTCACTGCTTTGTAACTCAACCTTTGTATCTCCACCAAACTTTGAGGAACTGCTTAGCAAGGACCCATTTGCAGTGTCTCTTTGCCAGACCACGACCACATCGACATCGGACCCTCTTGCTGGACGCGATGGTGGTCAATTGATGTTGTCATATCTGGTTTGGGGCAATGGGACGAGAGAAGAGAAGAAGAGGTCTCGAGGGTGGAGACTTCATCTGCATCAAGGGCACGAGCTTCCATCACCTGTGATACCACATGCTCGTGACTTAAGACTCCACCTCATTGAAGAGAACCTCAACTTTAAGGAGGTATTGGGGTGGACCGAAACTTAGGAGGCATTGTCCAGCTCACGACGTGAAAGAAGCACTTGTTGGGAGGCAACCCAACCAGTCGGTTTGCATTTCTTTATCTATTTCACCTCGGTTGAGTCAGTTTAGTTCTTTGATTTTAGAGTCAATAACTCAACCTTTGTGAGATTTTGTGTCGTGTTTGTGTTCCGACTACTCTCTCCTCCTGGAATGCATCGCCTGCCCCGTCCACCATCATTCATCCTTGATCTGGTAACTTTGTTCTACCCTCCTTATCTTTCCTCCATTGAGGACAATGTCGTGCTTAAGTGTGGGGGGATGTTCGATTATGTATGCGGGTGAATGTTTGGCTGCTTGTGTGCTTGGAGCCTAGTCCACTGTCCAAACTTTTAAATTTGAGGGCTCCAAGTATGTGTTTCCTTGCAAATTGCCTGCTCAGTATGCTTTGAATTGACAGTCTCTATAGTAATGTGCAACCTAGGGAGGTAGTGTAGCACTATGGAGGATGTTGAAGTATAAGATTTGTCCTATCTAGCTCTCTGCTGTGCCAGTTGATTTTGTGAATTAGTGGAGCTAAGACCGTTGAATTCATGTGGTAATGGTGACTCTGATTGGATTGTGTTATGTCCTCGTGTATCGAACAAGGTGCTCATGGGGGAAATGAAAAGCAGTTGGTCCTCAATGTCGAAATCATCAAAATCTTAAACATGGGGTAAGCCCAACGTGTGTGGCACCGTTCATTGCACAAAATCGGGTTTTGGAAGAGATTTTAGTGATCCTTAGTGGGGTACTCCTACAAGGTGAAGCTAAGCTGTCTCTAGTACAAGTAAAATTTTCACTCGTTGAACGGTTTGTCTACTCGAGGATGTGTTTTTAAGGGCCTGGATAGAGCTTCCGAACCCCCTTAATTTCATTGACCCTCCACAGGAGTTGAGGAAAAGGAGTTAAAAGAAGTACTCTGCGAGTGCCAGATGTACAGAAATTGCTCTTGCTCGACTAATAAGGGTCGACCATACAAAAGACTGAAGTTGGAACCCCCACTAAGTAAACGAAGAAAAAAAAAAAGAAAGGAATGTAAATGAAAGTGCAAAAAAGAGGGGTTCCAACGGTGAAATGAAGTGAAAGAGCATCCCGGTACAATGAGTCATTGGTTGTGAATGGTGTGAGTCCCCTTATCCATGAACTGGCTGTCTTACTTCCATTTCTTCTCATGATCCTGGCTTGAGTCTAGTACTCGCATTGAGAGAGATAGGGAATGTCTTAGAAGACCAGTTGATCTCGTAAGCTGCTATATGATCTAGGAAATCCTCTACCGACGATCGGGGTTGTTTGTTGCAATAGAGGTTTGGAGAGTTGCATTGGTTTGAGTTAGGTTTGCTTGGGGACAAGCAACCAGTTAAGTGTGGGGGAGTTTGATAGACCATTGATTGCACATGTTTTTACCCCTATTCTTGAGCCGTTTGAGATGTTGATTCTCGTGTTTTAAGCTGATTTCACGCTAGGTTGTGTGTTTATGTCATATTTCAGGGCTTGCCATTGAGGCG